TTTGTCTGAAAAAATGCTTTTTATTTACTTTTATTCACTTATAATAATTTAAGAATAAAATATTTTAATTATTTCTCACTTATATTGAGTTTCAATTTCAATTATTTTTTACTTATTTTTGTTTCTTATGAGACTGTATAGTACACGAAGAGAATATTGTAGTAAAAATTACAATACAATTTTAGTACTCCGGAAATTACCATAAATATGGTAAAAATTATCATGTTTATGATAATTTTTATTATATTTTATTATAATTTTCATAATAGCGCCAGTCTATTTCCGAAATTAAATTTATTAAAAATTGTACTGTAATTTTTATTACAATATTCGCTTCATGTAATAATATAATTTACTGTCTGTGTGTCTGTCGATAACTCAGTATCGTAAAAATGAAAGAAAAATAGGTAGGATGCTAGTGACTCAAAGGGTTAATAAGGTAAATGTCGATAAAGTACACGGCGAATGTAGCAGTGAAATATTTGCTTAATAGGCTCCATCTCAAAGGATGAGTCTCTACTCGATATGATACAGTCAATCCGGCTCGCTGTCTCCTCCTTTCTTCGTAACTTCACATATCTTGTTCGAAAAATACACTCGACCCTTCGTCCAGTTATTGTAGATGCTCTCGTAAATCATCGCCGGCGACTTTTAGCCGACGTATATATCTATTGCATGTCGTGATAACAGAATTGATTACGCTTCAGTGGGTACGAGAATTTCTACTTACAAACTTTCGAGAAACGAACGGTCTTGTCTACCTACGGAGGATTCCCGATTCGTTTTTACGAATGCTACGCGGGCAAATAAGTCGCGACCCTCTCTTTTTCTCTCTTTTTCATTCTCTCTTTCTCTCTGCGATTCGCTTGACAAACGCGCAATTTCGCGCTCGCGATTATTCCGAGTTCGAGTTTCGAGATTATTCACTTTTGACTCGCGTCTCGGTGTATAAATGTTTCCAATTTTTATGGATCTCGCAATTTCCACAGAGCGTGTTTTGCAGTGGAACGAGAGGCGACCGTTCATTTTTATTCAACCTCGACGGCACCACCACGTACGACACGCGGTGTAAAATCCGAAAAAATATAGACCAAATGAAATCCGAAAAATTGCAGATATAAAAGTCAGGAGTGACAGACGATACTGTATTTTTCCGTGGCAAAATATTAATATACGCGAATAAAATCGTGCCTCAAAGCGATTGGATCAATTTTACGGCGATGCGCATTCCGTTGAAGTGAAATTAAATAAATTATATTATATAAAATAAATATAGAAATTAAATAAATAATATTAAATAACTCTACCGCGTTTTATTGTATCGCCAATTGCGTATACGCCGTCACATCATTTCACTGTACGATCTTTGCGAAAAAAACACGTAAATATTTCATTTCCCTCCGATGCAATTAACCGACTTCTGCTCATTCCTAAAGATTTCCCGCGAAAGACGCAGAGTAGTTTTCTTTGTTCTCTAGAAAATCACGAATTACAAATCCGTACTTTGCCGTTTGTTTACAATTATCGTGAAACGCACGCGAGAACGTTCGCGTAAATGAAAAGAGGGATTATCGCACGTATAGACAGTTGGAGCCAACCAACAAATAAATGTCGCGCAACATAACCGACATAACGACATGCAAAAAGAGAAGAGAAAAATAACAGTGAGAGAGGGAGGGAAGGAGAGAGAGAGAGAAAGCGTATGCAAAAAATACGTAGTTGTTTGATTAGCAAGGCGGTGGAGACACAACGTGTATCCGTGCGCGTGCATTTCAACATGTATCGATCATTGGACAAGCCGGTGAAGCCGCGGGCGAGTTGAAATAGCGGAAGTAAAACTAATTCAAAGCTAGCACGAGCTAGCACGACGAGAAAAAGTAAACCGAGTTAAGGACGGGCGATGTCACGAGGAAAGAATTGACAATGAAGCTGATTAATCGGCTATACAAAGAATACACAGGGTATCTGAGATTGAAGCACGTGCGCAAGTAAATCAAGTCAGACTGAGCCTTTCTCTTTCGGAAAATCACGTAAAATTTTGAGATATTGTTGCGAAAAAATTGGCGAACCAGTACGCGCGATGAAGATACGAGCTTGGTGGGACGAGCTCTGTGGACCCGAGATCTCGTCGAAAATGGTTGAGATTTGCGACTGTTTCTTAGAGACACGCATATGACACGCTCGCGATAAGTCGAGAAACGATCGTCCACACGTTCGCTCGCATCATTACTTCATCTTCAGCTGTTAACCGACAGCCATACAGTCGCCTGAAGAGTCGTCTACAGTGCAGTGGCAGTTACGTTTTAAAGTCGTAGCACTAGTCTGTGAATTGATTATGTATCTGTTTTCTACGCGTGAGAAATGAGAAAAGTTTTATTAAACAGGTGAAACAAAATTCTCATTTCTCTCACGAATTTACGCGGAGGAAACAGATGCATGATCGATTCTTGGACAGACTGATGCTACGACTTTAGAACGTAACCGCGATGACCTGCATTGTAGACGACCCTTAAGAGGTAGTCGCACATCAGCCACTGTCGACGAAACGGAGAAATTGCTTTCAGCAATCTCGTGTCAGACCTTGTACACCCCTTCGACCGGTTTTCTTTTTTCTATTCCTTTCTTTCCTTCTCGGGGAATATCGAGGAAATATTGATCGACTTATCTCTTCATGAATATTCACACGGGAATGTGACTGACATCGAGATTAACTTTAATATGACCCAGTTTATGGTTTTCCTTCCTTCATGTGTCTCTCTTTTATTCGCGCATCGCACTCTCCCGCTCTTTTCATTGGCCCGCGAAGCCAATTACTACCGTGTGAAAACGTATAAATAATGGATTATTGAAAGAAAAGGAACATCGATTAATCGACGGAGCGTTGGCCATCCTTAGAAAAGCACAAGTCGAGAGACGGGGTGAGGCGGTTAAAGGGGAACGAGCGTATGAAAAGGGGAAATTCGAGGCCGGCGGAAGCCGGAGAATTCCATGCCGGAAGGGACAAAAGAAAGGAGGACGGCAGGGTATTTTCTTTAGAAAACGTACCGAGTCGGCTTGAGGCTGTCAGAGGAAAACGGAGAAGGTGTACACACGCGTGTATGTGTGTATGTGTATGTACGTGTTGTGTGTACGCTCTTTTTGTGTGTATGTGTGTAGTATGCAAGCGTATGTGTGTGTATGTGTACCAGTTGTGTCGATGCGCGAGGAGAACGGAAGGAATAAGTTTGGAGGAACTATGAATCGTGAAATGGACGGACGGACAGGGTCAAATAGACAGTTGTAGGTGAATTTGGCAGAAACTTTAACAACCTATTCATATGGAAGTTGCATCTCTTATGAATATTTCATATAGCATTTATCACATAGAATATGATGAAAGAGAAACGAAAAAATTGTCCGAATTAGTATTCAAAATAATATGTCATGTAAAGTATAAAAGATGAAAATTTGAGTGTACTTTTTGGTGTACCGAAAAAAATATATGAAAATTTATTCATAAGATATAGAGTTTATTTTTGCGAAATAAAATTTATTTCTGTGAAATATAAACTTTTATCCCACAAGTAAATTTTCAAACATTTTTTTCTTGGTAAATTTGTTGCGTCAGTATATACGACGTCATGGATGCCCGAACATTCCTTAGATCGAGAGTTACAGAATTTTCGGTTTTATGCATGTACGAATAAGATTGAAATTGTTATAATTAACGTCATTATAATTCTATCATTATAATCAGAGTTACTTAAACAATTTTCAATCTCAAGTATTATGTGTAAGGCTGAAAATTGTATAACCCTTGATTTAGTAAATGTTCGGGCATCCATGACGCTGTATGCACAACAAAAACTTTACATTAGTATGATGTAAATTTCATAATTTATTCAGAACAATATCTTTGCTTCATAAAATAATTAGAAAAATCGTAAAGTTTGCATCATCAATCATTTCGCGTCGTGATAATCGTGAAAGTCTATCTGGAAGGGGCCAAGAAGCTATCGGTGGAGACATGATCGATTACGACCGCGGCGGTTAAGCTAGAATCACACGATGTATGATCTCATACCTTCTGACACACATGCTGACCGGCAATTCAGTTCACTGCACGGATTTCCCAATGCACGATAGCAATCCGTGCAGTGAACTGAGCTGCCGGTCAGCATGCATGTCAAAAAGCATGAAATCGTGTATTCTAGTTTTACACAAAGCTCGAGCCAGCCTTGGGGCTGAGCATACTGGGGGGTATCGCGAGATCACAAAATTTATTTTCGGTTTCTCGTTTCTTAAGGACGCACAGGCTTCCTAGAGCTGGCGAAGTTTTGAATTGAAATTCTATCAGTTCGTCGATCGCAAGACGACTCTTACGGGTACTATCGGAAATGTACATTGTTTAGCATATTTAGCGTTGACGATTTACATACACTGTAAATCGCGGGGAATCTTAAGACTCGAGTTCGTTAAGGCTGCGAGCCGGAAATGAGAGAATTTTAACGGCACGAAACGACATTCAATCGATTATTCATCGATTCAACAGCCACGTTCGGTCAGAATACTAACGACTGACTCTGCGGACGAAATCAAAATGCGCGTTTCTCTCTTTCCGTTTTGCGAATCAACGAGGATCAAACGAAGGGTACGAGAGAGCGGGTTGTTCGCAGATCGGTGTGTACATATACATGTACATATGTTGTGTGAGATTGAACGGCAGTGAGAGAGCGCGAGAGCGAGAGTGAGAGAACGGCAGAATGAGAGAGTGAGAGAGAGAGAGAGAGAGAGAGAGAGAGAGAGAGAGAGAGAGAGAGAGAGAGAATGAGAGAAGGTGTACGAGAGGGACCGAAAGAACGGAACGAACGAACGCAAGGAAGGCAAGTAAGAAAGAAGGGAGAAAATAAAGAGAGAAAGAGGAGGAAGGCTCCGGCGGGGGCCGCTCGTCCATGAACGGAGGACACTGATCACACCCCCCTCGGACTGATCGGCTCTCTTTCTCCCTTCCTGATTCGCAGGTACGTCTTCACGATAGTCAGCTACTTGATCGGCGTCTTCATATTCGCGACCATCGTCGGCCAGGTCGGCAACGTCATCACCAACAGGAACGCGAATCGTCTCGAGTTCGAGCGGCTCTTGGACGGCGCCAAGACCTACATGAGGCACCACAAGGTGCCGGGCGGTATGAAACGGCGGGTGCTCAGGTGGTACGACTACAGCTGGTCGCGTGGCAGGATCCAGGGCGGCGGTGACATCAACACCGCCCTCGGTCTACTACCGGACAAGCTCAAGACCGAGCTGGCGTTACACGTGAACCTCTCGGTGCTGAAGAAGGTCACCATTTTCCAGGTGAGCTCGTGTGCCCGCGCGCTACGCGCGCCAAGAGCCGCCGACGGATCGATCGATTTCGCAGAATCGTATGTGCGGCGAGAGCGAGGTGTGGACGCGCGTCGGAATTTCCGCGTTCTCCGAGGTTTATTCAAATCTGCGTTAAGTGAGGCAAACGAGCTCGGTCGAGCGCTCTCAAATTTCTGTGAAATCGGCGCGCGTGGAACGCCGAAGAGAGAACGAAGCGAACGGATCGCGTCGCTTTCCACCGTCTCAATTATTGCCGACGCACTGTGATCCACTTCATTTTCTTTTATCACTTTGAATTGTGAAGTATGCGAACCGGAAATGAAAACTTGCCGCGCCCATTGCATAACGAATCACGACTGATTTCGCCTGCACCAACGGGCCATTTGCTCCACTCAATTTCTCTCTGCAGTCCTTAATCTCGGGGATCTTAAGGCGCTCTCATTTTTTCAAGTCAGTCTTAAAAATAGTCGATTTAGTCACGAACTCGTTTCGCCCGATAGTTGTATTTCCATCAACATCCCTCTTTCTCTCCCGTTCTTTTCCCCTCTTTTTCTCTCTCTTACTCTCCTTCTCTCGTAAAAAAAATTTACATCATCCGATTCTCCTTGCTGTGTAAAGAACAACCGGTCGGACGCAGGGGAGAATCGCGAGGGAGAAGCGCGTACCGAGATCGCAAGGAGGAAAGAAAGAAAATGAGGGTAGGATTGGTTCAATCAGAGCATAGAAATACGATATACCGAGGACGAAATATTTTCCCGATCATATTCAAAGTTTTATCGTCGTCAGCGGCGAACGGAGAAATGAATGGGTGTGAGAAAGGTATGAGCGTTTCGCGCGGAAGAGAAAAGAGCTCCATATAATTTGATATAAAAGGGTCCGTGCGCGCGGTTTTCTCCTTTTGCACGACTTTGTGGAGGCATTAGAGGCTCCGGTTTTTGCGCGACTGCGGCATTAAAGAGTCCGCGCACGAACCTTCGCGAGCTCATTGTTACGGAGTCTTTTCGCGAATTATACGAGTGCTAGTTGCTCTCATATATCAGTGCGCGGCTATCGAATCCTTCGTGCTTCAGTATTCGTGAGACAAAGATGTGTAAGCTCAGAAGAACGCTCATTCTTTCAAATGAAGCTTGTAGGCCTGTTCTGTGACTTTTGGCAGCAATATCCTTATCGTTACATTATCGTTGCGCGGCTACCCTATCATATATTCGATTTATTATACGGGGGAAGTCACCCCTAATGTTAGATTGTACAGTGATCTTCCTTTTATATTAAAGAGAAATGCGTAAGAAGAGAATAAATTGTGTGGTTGAAGGAGCAAAATATTGTGTTTAGCCAACCTCTACAAACACGCAATTTATTCCTTACACAATTTTATTTTATACTACTTTTATCCATCCCAATTTCAATTTTAATTTTGACTTTTGCACGTGTTACTTTTATATCAACCAAGCTAGATCGTGGAACAGTAGTTTTCATGATGCAGCGACTCTTGCGTGCGTTTGCTTCGTTTGTTTTTCTCTATTTCTCTTACGAAAACAACAGTTATCTGTGTCACTCGCACAAAATAAAGTTATTCTTACGACTGCGCAACGAGACAACGTAACGACAACGGCAGTCGTTAAAAGTTACAGGACGGGCCAACTGCTGGGCAATAAGAAGTCGAGAGCTTTTTATCTCTCGGTGTCTCTTTCGGCGATGTTTGTGTCGATATGCAAAAACGGAGGCGCCCTCTCCCTGCGTTTTATTTGTCCACATCCCGATGGGTTAACACGCGAGTGATGAAACGCTGCGCGCGTTTTTCCACGCGAAATACAACCTCCACAAAATTTTAGGAGATTCAAGAGAGCATATGAATTTCCGTTAAAAGAGCGAAGTTAACCCAAATTTTGATGCTACTTTGACGCTCTTAACCCCTTGACTGTATGAAAATGAGACTTCCGTGCCACCAGTGTGTGAAAAAAAGTTTCTTCTTACATTTCTGCTACGATTTTAGTATTCAAGTTTTCAAGATCGCTGAATCCGAAAATGATATCAGAATTTCAAAATTCAAAATGACGGATCCAATATGGCATCAAAATATAAAAGTCCAATTATTTTTCTAATTTTTGATTCGCCATATTGGATCTGCCATTTTGAATTTTGAAATTCAGATATCATATTTATATTCAGCAAGACCTCGAAAAACCTTAGTATAATTATTTTTATAAAAATCCAATTATTTTTCTAACTTTTGATCCGGCATATTGGACCTATCATTTTGACTTTTGAGATTCTGATATTATATTCGGATTCAGAATCCTTAAAAACTACTAAAGATACCAATCTTCATACAAATCGCAAAAGGATAAATCGATTTTTTTAAGATGTACATATATGTACATTACACACTTACTCAAGGGATTAAGGATAGTTTCCGCCTACTTAGACTGTTTATAGCCTAATTAAAACTTTGACAATATTGATACTCATTAACTTCTCTTTTGAACCTTTAACTTTATCTTGTCATTTTGACGCTACTTTGACGCTCTTAAAAATAGTTTGAGCCTACTTAGATAATCTAACACCTAAGTGAAACCTATTTTGACGATATTGACACTCATTTCCGAGTCGAAATTTTGAATCTTAAATTCTATAAAATGTTGAACCTTAAATTCTATAAAATACATATATTCTATGTAGGAGCTAAAGCTTCAATAGAAGTTCGCAACTGAACCTACTTTACTTCCTAAGATTCTATTATTACACAACCTACTTTGACGCTAAAGAAAACGAAAGCGGAAATTTCAGACATCATCAGGGTCAAAATAGGAGTAAATCATATCATTAGAATTAAATCTACTTTGCTATCTTAGCTCTTACTGCAGTGTAGAATTCAAGGTTCAACATAGAGTCAAAATTTCGACTCGGGAAAGTTGCGCAAATATTTGGAGCGGAAACCTTGATCTGTGTCCTTCCGTTCGAAGAGAAACTTGTGAGAGGCCGCACGAATCGGACTTTGAAGTAACAATGACGTTCATGACCGCGTTTGTGACGCAACTCAATCAACCGCGAGACCCCTCGAATTCACGTTGTATCGTTTCTTGTTCCTGCCGATCGCGCATTAAGCCAAAAACATTTTTCTTCGAGCGCGGCCGGAAGCTTATCGCGTAAGGCGCTAAGAGCGACAAGGAAGAAGAAGAAATATACAGGTGCGGGAAACTGCGCGAGAAGCGTTTGGGAAGTTCGCCGAGAACGATGTAGGGTCATTACGGCACGGAGATATGACACGAAACTCCGCCACGGTAGATTTTTCTTTGGACCGTCGCGAATTTCCGCTCCGCGCGAAATTCCCCCAAAGTTCGCCGCGCCAAAATTCACCGAGTGCAGAACGGTGCAAAATCGTAAAGCGCGGAGTTCCTCTTTTGCTTGCCCTAAATAAGTTCGTCGTGACTGCGTGAGGAAATAGCGTCACGATGCAGAATTTTTCAGATATTTTCCAATTCGCTATCTATCTTCTCCAGACACTTCTCGTCGGAGAAAAGCGTCCGGAGCAAAAACTGAGTGGATCCGCGCAGAACAAGCACAAAACAAGTGCAATATCGAATTATACACATGGACTGGTGAACAGACCGCCATAATTTACTAGATATTTACTAGCGGTTGCAATTTTTCAATCACACTGACAAAGAAAAAATAGTTGGTCTAATTAGCATTAGTCATTTTTTACCTAACCCGTATTTGTTGATTGTTCTAATGCGAAAATAGTAGTAATATTTAGTTATTATTACTAACATTATAGTAGAATTTAATAAAAAAAAATGTTTTCCATGATCGTAATTTATAGCAATTATTTCTCTATGTTATTATGGTTACAAACTATACTAAACATTTTTTCTCAGTGCATGTACATTCTATCTGCATATTGTCATGGCTATTAATTATTTGAGGAAACGGCAACGATATCTCAAATGCTGTTCAGAGAAAATTCGTAACATAAAACAAAATTATATACGAGTATACAAAAAAAAGTAATATGCAAGATATCCTTGCTAATTCTTTGAAGAATGACTAGTCATTACGATAACAATACAGGAATATATTCCTGTATCCTTAAAATATAACCAGTGTATTCTTTACATTACTAAAATACTACTCTTATAACTGGCAGTTCAGTTAGAAGCACTGCAATCAGTAATATCTTGCTGAAAAGTTCAGTCAATAATAGCGAATGTTTCTATTATTGGCCTTGTTTACACTGGACGTTTGATACGTTACTAAATAGCAACTTTCTATTAAATAATCTTAATATCGACGACGTATATAAACAACGGTATGCTAAGCTGGTATAATATTCATCAAGAAGACGTATTGTACCAATGAATATACAATTGTTCACATATATCGTCGATATTAAGATTATTTAATATAAGATGACCAGACGTTTCGATTTTTCACCCTTTGTCCCGAATTTTTTCGAGTGCTATTCGGAACACCGATTTGTCATCATTTTCAATGATTGTCGAATAATTTTTGGATTTTTTATCCCTCTCCCCCTACTTCACACATTTGAAGTGTCCCGAATTCCGGACTGGGAAATCTGGTCATCTTACATATACCGCGAGGAGAAACGAGAAGATTACTTACAAATGACGTCTTGATGATACGCCCCGGCTATCGCACATCGCTATTCTCGACACTCCCGATACTTATTTCCGCGCGAGACTTACTTTCGACGGGTTAAAGATGCGTAAAATACGGAGCGATGTCGATCGATGTATCTACGGCGGTTACTCGATGCAGAAAGATCGAGAATCAAGATGGTCGCGCAATTGTTGAATCGCGCTGAAAATATACGCCAATATGTGAACGCCGCCGCAGCCGAAAAGAACGCGTTCTATGAGATACTTCTCTCTTCGTATCTCTTTTCCAAACAAGCTGACGCAACCGCCCGAATATTCCGCATCTCTCTCTCTCTCTCTCTCTCTCTCT